TCAGATCCCGTTCTCCAGGGCATTGCAGCTGCCCAAACCATCAAGGGCATCCAGGAGGAGGGCGTCATGGCTACCGCGAAGCATTATGTCGCTAACGAACAAGAGCACTTCAGACAAGCATGGGAGTGGGGCCTTCCGAACGCGATATCGAGCAACATCGACGACCGCACACTACACGAGATCTACGCATGGCCCTTCGCCGACTCCGTCAAAGCCGGAGTGACCAGCGTCATGTGTTCGTACAACCAGGTCAATTCAAGCTATGCCTGCCAAAACTCCAAGCTGCTCAACGGTGTCCTGAAGGATGAGCTCGGCTTCCAGGGTTTCATTCAGAGTGACTGGTTAGCACAGCGTTCAGGCGTGGCTAGTGCTCTTGCGGGCTTGGACATGACCATGCCTGGAGATGGCTTGAGATGGGCCAAGGGCAACAGCTTATGGGGCCCTGAGCTCACCCGTGCGGTTCTCAATGGAAGCGTGCCCATCGATCGTGTCGACGACATGGTTACTCGTATTGTGGCATCTTGGTATCAGGTTGGCCAGGACAAGTGGGAAAATGACGGACCAAACTTCTCTTCGTGGACCAACGACAGGGTTGGCAAGCTTCACGAGGGCAGCCCATCGGACCACGAAACAGGCATCGTAAATCAGTATGTCAACGCACAAGGAGAAGGGAAAGAAGCACATGGACACCTAGTACGTCGCGTCGCAGCCGAAGGTACCGTCCTGGTGAAGAACGAGGGCAAGATGCTGCCTCTGGACCGAAAGGGCTGGAAGACTGGCGGCAAGGCCAAGACAAAGTTCCGTGTTGGTGTCTTTGGTGAAGATGCACGTCTCCCTCATGAGGGAATCAACCACTGCCCTGATCAGAGCTGCAACGAAGGTACATTGGCCTCAGGGTGGGGTTCTGGCGCGGTTAACTTCTCGTATCTAGTGGAGCCCATGTCCGCTATTCGAGACGCGTTCGACAACGAGACTGTTTACGTCACCGATTGGCTAGAAAATAAGCTGCCTAGCCAGAAGGAGATTCTCGTTGATCAGGACCTCTGCATTGTCTTCGCCAACGCCGACGCCGGAGAGGGCTACCAGCACTATGAAGGCATTCGTGGTGACAGGAATGACCTTAATCTGCAAAAGGGCGGCGAGAAGCTAATTCAGGATGTTGCTAAAGATTGCGGAGAAGGCATGGGCGATGTCGTGGTTGTCATCCACACTGTTGGACCTGTAATCCTGGAGAAGTTCATCGACATCATGAATGTCAGAGCCGTCATTATCGCCAATCTTCCCGGTACCGAATCTGGTAACGCCATCGTAGACGTACTCTTCGGTGACGTCAACCCATCTGGACGTCTACCTTACACAATCGCCAAGAAGGAAGACGACTACGGCCCAGGTAGCAAGATCAAGTATCTTCCCACCCCAAAGGATGGTCTGGCGCCTCAACAGGACTTCTCCGAAGGTCTTTACATCGACTACCGCCACTTCGACAAGAAGAACATCGCCCCACGATTCGAGTTTGGCTACGGTCTTTCGTACACCGACTTCAAGCTGTCCTCTCTCCTCATCGAAGAAAAGGGCGCTAAAACACCTCTTCCCAAGCCTCGACCTGATGGCCTGACTCCACCAAGCTATTCTACCGACCTACCAGATCCCAAATCTGTACTGTTCCCTGAGGGCTTCAACCAAGTTGAGCGATTCATCTACCCGTGGCTAGATTCCGTAAAGGGTATCAAGAAATCCGACCCTGCGACCCCCGCTCCACCATCTCCCCTCAGCCAAGCAGGCGGTGGCCCAGGCGGCAACCCCGATCTCTACACCACGCTTCTGACTGTATCGGCGTCACTAGAAAACGCCGGACCCGTCGACGGCGCATCGGTAGTCCAACTCTACATTTCTTTCCCGCAAAACTACAAGGACCACGAGACGGGTGAGCCCGTCGACTTCCCAGTTCGTGTGTTGCGCGGCTTTGAGAAGATTCACCTTGAGAAGAATGCAGGCAAGCTAGTGCAGTTTGATGTGACGAGAAGGGACCTGAGTTATTGGGATGTCAAGAGGCAGAATTGGGTGCTGCCTAACGGCGAGTTTGGTATTGGTGTGGGTTTCTCAAGCCGAGATCTGCCATTGCAGGGGAAGTGGTGAACTGGTATTTTCTTGGATAGAGGGGCACTTGATCTGGTGTTAGGTGTTATGTCTGTGTTGGTTGCTGATATCCCATATATACAATCTGTCTATTGCTGCTCACACTACCAACTACACTGCAACGATATCTAGTGATTACTCAACTCTTCTTTTCGAGGCAAGCTCATAGCTCACTCTTTCCCGGGCCATCTTGTCCTTCCATCGGTCTGCGCCCTCTGGCAAACAAGATCGTGCGCCACAGCTTCTTGCCACCGATTTCCATGTAGTTTTTCTCTTTCATCGTAATGACATCCACATCCACGAACCCAGCTTCCGTGAAGAACTGCTTTACGCCATCGATAGTAAAGTGCGGAACCACTATCGAGGCGTTCATCTTCTGGCGAAACTCGGTGTTACTCTCGCCAACATCATGCTTCTTGTCAGCATCATGGTGGTGATGATGCGAATGATGATGCCCATGCCCATGAGATCCAGAACCCTTCTCTTCCCCATGACCATGATGATGTCCATGACCATGAACAGCATGATTCCCCTCGCTTCCCTCAATCATACTCCCATCCTCCCCCGCCAAAAGATCACCTCCCTCCAGAAAATCATTAATAACCAACACACCGCCCGGCCTCAACCTCTCCTTCAACTGCCTTGCCGCAAACACCACATCCTCGAAATGATGGAATCCAAACCCCACAGTCGCGATGTCGAAGTTCCAAAACCTATCCCCGGAAAGCGACTCGGGGTCAGGATCAGACTTGTCGAAAAGGTCGCCTACAACGGCATTGACTACATCCTCGGAGAGTCCGGCGTCGCGGGCGCGCGTGTTGTATGTGGAGACCATGTTGGGTGATATGTCGATGCCTTGGGTGGAGGTGACGTAGGGGCCGAAGACGCGGGTCATGAGTCCGGTGCCGCATGCGTAGTCTAGAAGACGGACTGGTTGAGTGGTGGAGTCTGTGAAGGGTATGCCTACCCATGATAGGTCGGAGCGGAGGGTGGTGGCTACTCGGTCGTTGACGACTTTGAACCAAGGCTTACTGTCGTAGGAGTCGGATATGGCACTGTGATACGTTTAGTATGGCTTTACGTTTCTGGATTTTAGGAGGTGTCGCATACTCGAAGTACCGGCGGTTGGCTTCCGCGTAGCTCATCTTGGATGGTGGGTTGGGGTGAGGGGTAGTTTTGGTCTTTTGAGAGTGGTGATGTAGTCTTGATGGGTATGCAGAACGTTTGGAAGGTGCGAGAGGTTGTAATTGGGAATTTGGAGAAGATCCAATGTTCCTTTTGTATGTTGAAGATAGCTGTGAAGATGGAAGCAAAGTCGCCGATCTGCGTCGGAGACATATTTACGCTAAGCCTCTATTGGTGGAGCATCACCAAAATGGGTTGGGAAACACGCAGTATATGGCGTTATGTTACCGGAAAACACAGCATACAGAGAAAGAAGTACGACTCCAGAGTTTTGTGTGCACACACGCTAATTCGATAAGTCGGTGGATGCAACCGGCCGAACGTTGCTCATTCTATATCTGAGCTATGAAGACTAGTCGTCGGAGACATTGTCGTGTGGCTCCGCAAAGTATAGAAAAGCAACCACTTATCGTGAACTCAAATTCGCCGTCGCGATAGACAGAATATGACTCATACCCGTCTACGACATAGTAGAACTCTCGTTGTGTTCAACACAGGCATTCTCGTCGATGCGCATGTGTCTGTGTTGTGCTATATATCATCAGGAGAATATCCCTTCCATGCTGTCTATGTTCTCCGGCGCTGATGAATTGCTGTCTTCTTGGGAGACTTGGGTTTGCAGAGCTTGTTGCCGCGCAAGGCCTTCTTCTCTTTTCCGCCGTTTCCTGGCGTCCGTATCTTCCCAATCTGGCTTGGATTCACTTGTCGCAGTCGGTTCGTACGTCTCCAAGAGGGCCTGGCGAAACCGGCTTATGCGATCGAAGTTGATGTTGAATCGCTCGTTTGCGATATTTACTAGTGTTCGCAGATACCGCTCGTCTACCAAGGCAACATTGCGGCCATCGCCATATTGATACCCAATGATGGAGTCGAATGAATAACCAGCTGACCGGACAGCCACGATGGGGTTCGACTCTGCTGTCTTCGCTGACCCTAGACTCACGGCGCCACTCTCACGGAACCCGGCAGCTAAGGCAGCAGTGAGGACACCTTGGGCATGATCCATGGATGCACTCAGGACGTGGAGTATCTGTGCCACGTCAGACCATGTCAACGTGCTATGATGACTGAAGATACCATGGGTTCAAATTTAAGATGAATGTACCTGCTGGACACGCTAGGTGTTTCCTCCGTTGCTTCGGCCTTGTCTAAGCCAAACTTTGATATGAGGTCACCTGTTGCTTCGTCTCGCCCAAGTGGCGTGTGTGAGATGAACAGCCAAGCACCCCCACCACCTTTTCCTCCTGGTCCAGCGCGTGAAGTCTCACGTTCAGGCAATTCATCTGGTACTTCATTGTATGATTTGCGTCCTTCCAAAAACACGCTGATGCGCCCCGAACAGCTGCTAGTGGTGACTAGTCCTGGGAGACTGTTGATCTCGCCGATTAAATCTCGGATGGGCGCATCGACGGATCCCTTGGGCGACAGATCATGATACTCGCCATCTGGAGCGTCGAGTTGCTCCAAGATCTTTTGCTTGCGAGCTTCGAAGCGTGTCGGCATGTCAATCGGGCGTGCTTTCTGGCTGGGGTGGAAACGTGACAGCGCGCTGTATTTTCGCGTTCGAGTGCGTCATCGATGGTCTGTGCGCGCGTCATCTTTCAAGCAGCCACGAAGGCACCTGCAATGACAACTGAGTGTCACGCCTATCACGTTCTCAAATCGCATCACTCGAGATCATGCCACGTAAAGCCACTAAAAGCGCAAGTGCTCCAGCTCCCAGGAGCAATTCTAAACGTCCTGCGCCGGAGGTTCCAGCACGGCAGTCTAAGAGAGCACGGGCTACCGCAAGGAAGTCTTACGTCGAGCCTGAGAGCGACACGGATAGCGACGGGAACAAACCCAAGGCAGACGTCGCACCCGACGATGACGAGGATGACGTTGTAGCATCAGACTACGAGGAACATAGCGACAAGGATCCATCGTCGGAATCCGAGCACGATGAAACCGCCAGTGACGACGAATCTGAGGGCAAGCGAGCAACTCCTAGAGGGCGCGAAACCAAGAGCCTTGCCATACACAAGAAGGTCGCTGGCGAGAAAGAGCTATGGAAACCCGGTGCGAAGCTCGCACCAGGAACGCAGCTGATCATCAAGAAACCAAAGGCTCGAGATGCAGGCGACACGCCGTACTTGGATCACACAATCCACCCAAATACTATGCTGTTCCTTAAGGACTTGACGGCTAACAACGACCGCCAATGGTTGAAGCGTGAGTGATGGCTTATTACGTTTCATGTCAAACGGCACGATCGGATCGCTAGCTGACGTCTATATCGTAGTCCATGACCCTGACTTTAGAGTTTCATTCCAAGATTTTACCACTTTTGCGGAGAAGGTATCCGAGAAGATCATCGAGGCAGATGAGACCATCCCAGAGTTGCCTGTCAAAGATGTAGTAAGTGTTTCCGACTGGACCGTTGCAGTACGATTTACTAAAAAGTGTAGATCTACCGGATTTACAGAGGTGAGCCCGAAGTATGGTCTCAGCTGGATTATGCTCACAGTAGAAAGATATTCGGTTCTCGAAAGACCCAACCCCGTACAAGGTGAGTGGATACATCGAACTTCCACGCTAGGGTGGGGTCATGCCCTTGAAGCCGTGTCACGAAGTCGAGAGACACAGCATGCTGCCAAATCATCATGGCGCTATGGCATATACTCTGCGACCCGACGAATAGCTTCAGCATGATGCCCTTTCACGGCTATATGCAAAGCAGGCTGACCTGATCTAGACTTACTTTTCTGCGGCCTGGTCAAGAACTGTAAGTCACACATGCGTACAAGCTTATGTGAGCCCCACACTGACATTGTATACGACGTGCAGGGACGCAAGGGACCCTACGCACACTACTACATCCAGGTGCAACCCAATGGTGGTAGCTTCGTAGGTATGTTCGATTCTCCTCTCTTCGTCTTCGCGGAGACACCCGAGCCGCGAGCTGTTGTGGAACTCAAGCGCAGTGCGAAGTGACCTCGTGGCCACCGCATTGCTTCTTTCGACTCCATGTGCATAGGGTATGCAAGTGTACCCAATGCTCGTCACCACGACAGCTGCTGCGAGCCTCGGCTCCACAGCGACTCTTGTCGTGTGGTCGACCTTGCACTCCTGACCATGTGTCGCATTATACGACTGCCGGCTCGGAGACGACAATGCATCGCCATGCGGTGAGATTGACCGATCCGACCAGCGCTGCACGTTATGGCCATGCGGGGAATATTGACGGTCACTATGCCACACAATTGGACCCATGTGCCTATGTCTCGTCGGACAGCGTAGAGTAACATATTGTCTTCTCGGTTGTACCGCGCGGTATCCGGGAGGTAACGTATCGAACCGTTTGAGGGTTTGGCAGCGTGCAGCGAGGTGTCGTCGGGATGGTACATTCATCTGATGCACGTCAGTGTGTATCCATTCTGCCTATGCAAGAGGCACCATAGTCAGCGGCGCGTCAATGGCTCATCGATATCCTTTCTTACACGAGAATGCGCTGACTTTGAAAGGTGGTGGCTTCTGGCAGCCTGACGCGTCGACTCTGGCCAAACTACGACGCGACATTGATCGCAAACCGCACAAGATCAAGGCCGTACTGACGGACTCTGGTATTCGAGAAGCTTTCCTGGGTGGAGTCAAAGATGACGAGAAGAAGGCTGTGAAGGCTTTCACGAGCTTGTCGATGAATCAGTCGAATGCTCTGAAACGCAACCCAAAGGTATGCAGCATCTGTTCAATCCATCCCTTGAGACAGCAGGGTATCAGCAGACAGATCTCGTGTCATCAAGCATGAAATATGCTTGTGAAACACCATGGTCACGACGTCTTCTCACAAGCAGAGTCGATTTTTGCAAGGTCTGGTATCGGCTTTGCCGCGATCGGGTACTGTCCGCCGCCTGACACGGTTCAACACCAAAACTAGCACGGAAGCTCCCCGCCTACAAGGATGTATCTCCATGAAACTCTTCCGCTACACCATCTCGCAAACGGCACACGATCACGATGACGTACAATCAGCTTCAGTCTCGTACTGGAAGGTTGTGCGTTACAACTGTGTGCCGTCCCGCAAATAGAGTTTCAAGTCGCCCCGCACTCAACAAGTTGAGCTGAGTTGGAGTAGTCATGGCTAGCACCCTTTGAGTAGGCGGGGTTCTCTGCTCGCAGCAGTCTGCAAAAGCCCAGTCGCGGGGATTATGATGAACAAACTTCAAACTTCAAACTCACTGCAGCTGTTCATGTTTGCTGACACCTCTCCAGGGATATGACCATGACCACAAAGATATCGAACTCATGCGGCTCCGCAACTACACCATGGGGCGGAAGCTCGCAGACGATGAAATTGTTGGTTCTGGGGGCTTGGAGCGAGTGGGTGAACTCATTGCCAGTATGGTACCCTTTGTAAGTCTATCCTTCCATACTCTTGACATTGACGGCCTCACGTTCCCATTGGACAAGACAAGATAAGAGCGGCGGCAACTTGTTAGGGAAGTGCCTGTACGGTGCAAGCGATGGGGTGACTATAGTGCCGGCCAGTAGTGCGTTGGCAATGCAGTCACCCGCCCATCGTAAAATCCTTCAGGTGTGAAGGACGACCACAGCAATCTCCCGGGAGGCGTTGCACACAAGGCCGCTAACAACCGTGGCAGATCACGTATCTGAACAGCATCGCGATGCCCGACGACGACACGTCAGACTCGAGCGAGGACGAAGGAAGCGATGCCGAGCCCGACGATGACAGCAACGCCGCAGAGGATGACGAGGCTTGATGAGAGCAATTTCAACAACGCATGTTCGAGGCACGGTGCTTCGAGCCGAAGTCATTTAGATGCACACATTGGTGGGAGCGTGGAGGAGTGGGCCACGCAAGCGCAAAGACCGCCAATAGACGCTGGTGTAACCCTGCCACGGTGGCGCTGACTGGTTGACACAACCGATGCCATGCAACAGACTAAGTCATCGTGCAGCATTAGCTCCAGCACGAGCGGATAACTGGGATCAACATGCAGCGCTAGTAGGTCACGGGAGCACTTATGCCAAATGCAGTATCCTCGGTCTTATGATGGGCCTTGTTCATTTCGGATCTAGCTTCTTCGTACCCTGGCCCCCTCTTAAAGCTACGCTCAGACGCGGGCCTGCCGTCTTTCTTAGCGGCTTTTTCCTGGCTAAACGAACGAGGGGAGGCAGTGCACAGTGCTCACTCTCTCTGTTCGATCACGACGCAGTATAGATGGCTGACCGCATCGATGCCAGATTCTCGCCATGACATTGCAGCAGAGGATCTGCCAGGGTTTGCAGCTATCGCTTCATATAATCGCCAGGCCCCGATCAGCTGGCCTCCCCACTATCCATTTTGGCACAGTGACATGCTGCACACGTTGCGTTAGTCTATACACGGCTACGGCTCGGGGCGCACTCGTTGTCCGTCTGGGATGCATGGGTTTACGCCCTAACGCGTCTGATCGAGGCCAGCTGCATCTCGTGACGAAGGCTTCAGCGAATCTTTACCGGCGCCGTGAGTAGCTGGCGGTTAGTTGCTGCATCGCTCAGCGTCATGCACTCATAAGAAGCGGAAAGTTGAGCGGCTTACGCTGTTGGGCTGCGCTTGACGTGGTGTAAGCATGACGCCAGCATCTCCAACGCCAAACCTTCAGAATTTCAATGCGAGCTGTGGTCCTTCTACGGCGCGATTTTGCATCGCACAGTGCATTCCAGTTGAATAACGAGGCTTTGAGGAGCTTCAGAATGCCTTCAAAAGGCGGTGTGGTTATAAGGCAACTCGTTGTGTCTATTGAATCCCACCGTCCATCACACCGATGAGCTGCAGATATTTCTTTCTTCCGCGAATTAGCACGCTTCGGGCTGATCCATCGACCCGCAATGGCTTGCGTCCGCTTATCCACCCCTTCCGCGTCTCTAGATGATATTTACCGGCGTTTGTGACACAGCTGGATCTCGCAAAGCCAAAACGTGTCGCCTTGCCCTTCTCGGCCTTCCGCCGGGTTCGGTAAGGCGAGCCTACACCGTCGTCTGCCCGAAGATGAGGCGGACGAGCGCTGGGGTAGAGAACGGAGATGGGATACCGCTTATCCGACAGGATGTCGTCCCTCACACCACTACTGCAAGGACGGAAACTCGTTTGTTGGAGCATCAGCAACATGCGGTACTGCGGCGCATCAAAAGTATTGTCAGGATGCAAAGGAATGCGTGTACACCGATGCAACGCCATCACCAGACTGACCACGCCTCTATCGCACCAGCACACCTTGACAGATCGGTGAGGTTGTTTGTTTTGCACTGGCCACGGACGCGCTGTGGAAGCATTGCCCGCGTTCTTTATGCCTGTCAGACACTAGAACGGTGCCACGGGCGAGGCATCGTCTCGGAGGCTTGACGATATCTTCCCGCCTGATATATCTGAATCTGGTTTTACCTGCAGATTGGCGGTACACAAAATGCGGCACAAGCGACATGGCCCTTTTGCGCTGCTTACGGTGACACGAATGGGTAGACTCCGCAATCTCCAGCTATGCTATGCATATTGCGGGAAGGCTTCGGTGACACAAACTTCGTTAATCTAATTATCAACGGGACACACGCGGGAATTCCACATCTCGTCCCGAGCCGCGAATACACCTGGTTCCAATTGAGCCAGCTCCCACCGTCCACGCGCGGCGTCGCAATCTCCATGGCCACCACCATGGCTGAGCATCGCTTACCGTCTGCACTGCAGTGGTGATGGACGTTGCGCGGCTATTTGCTTGGGTGAATCGACCGAGGCGGCTGAAGATCACGTCCAGAACAGATCCTGGTTGATCTACCCCACAATCCGCTCACTTGGTGTAACCGTCATCAGCGGCATTCAACGGCACTTTTTCAATGTGCAGCACAAGGCTGCTGTCCTTGATTGTCGGCCAAGTCAAGGATGATGCTCCTTGGACTGATGGTTTCAGACGAATATAGTCGCAGACAAATGACTGCATTGGGCCTCATCTATCACGCGCTCGTGACTGACTCGAAAGGGCGAAATACGGTGTGGCAGTCAATCAAATTACAACAATTATTAAAAGCGATTGGCTGCAAGCGGTCATCCCGCTGAATACGGTGCCAATGAGTGAAAACGGCACTGTGGCCGGGACGACGGCTTTGACCGGTAGACACGTCTTGTGACTGCAGCAAGGATTTTTGTCGTGCTCGATAGGATTTACCCGTCGAGCAGCAGCTGCAA